GATCACTTCCCTACTCCTGCTGGCCACACTATTTCTGATACAGGCCAGGATGCCATTGGCCTTCTTGGCCACCTGGGCACACTGCCGGCTGATGTTCAGCTGGCTGTCAACCAGCACCCCCAGGTCCTTTTCCGCCAGGCAGCTTTCCAGCCACTCTTTTAACTGCTTTTAAACCTATAGGGTAGGATTCATCTTCCTAATCTAAACGACTCTTCTAGGTGCCCTTTCTAGTCAGTGGTGACAGATTCAAAAGGCACTTCCTCTCATCTCTGCATCTGTGGGATAAATTTCCTTCCTCCCAGAGGGCTTCTCTTGGCTATTTATAGAAGGAGTCCAGATAAGAAGTTTGATCAGGATATATAACTCTTAGGAAAAAAAGCCCTTCTGTATTTTAAATATTGTGTAAAGCATGTGTGTGATCTTAATGAGCTGAGTAGTGATATACTAAAAGTACTGACTGAGCAATTAGGTACCTTCATAGTGGTAAAGGCCTGTGCCAATGAGGAACATGGACAGGAAAGCTAAAGAATGAGACTACGCTGTCGTCTTTGTCATCAGGCTTCCTTTGAGGTAAATGGATGTTGCCGTTTACTGCAGTGGACTCTCCAACAGGTCCCCCAGGTTCTCTATTTCCATCAGTGTACTTGGCATTTGAAATCTCATTGTTCCTTCAAGCGGGGTCAAATCATATCTCTAGGAGCAAGGAACATAAATTCAACATTTGAAATGAGAAACAATGTCTTGAAAGTCTTATGAGAAATGTATTGCTGAAAGACTTTAATCCCAAATGTACTATAGGAGGCACTCAACACTGCATGCCAAACTCCATTTCTGCCTTTCTTCAAACATGGAGCTCCCCGTAGGAGACTTTACTACTGCAAGCCCAGTGTGTGTATGTGGTCTCTCCCCTGATGTTAGCCCACCTACTTCCTTTATTGTAGGGGAAGCAAGCTTCCTTCACAAACTTTGACCCCACTGGACTGCTTCCTGCGTGTAGAGACTATTGGACGTACCCCGGCTCACTGACCACTCCCCCACTGCTCGAATGTGTGATCTGGCACGTTCTGAAGGAGCCCATCACTGTCAGCCCCGAGCAGGTAGGTCTCCAATGGGTGGTGCCAGTAGATGTGTACTGGAGTCGTATTGTTTCAGCCCTCCTGGTGATCTTTGAAATGGCAGTTTATGTTACTGCAGAGCTATGCAGGACATCAGCTAGCATCACATATCAAAAATATGTATCTGGAATGGTGCTCCTCTTCTGGTAGGACTCTGCTTCTATGTGTGGAAGTAGACTGGTGTAAAATGTAAGGCTGTCCTCCATTTGGACACAGTCCAGGGAAAATTTGGGGGGGGTTAAAAATTTAATCAGGCTTTCCAGATACATGGTTAGAGCTGCCATGTGGTAAAAATCTGGGAAATTTTTAGCATGCATGAAAGGACCATTTGCACATGCAGTTAGTCTAGCACGTATTGTGAGCATCAGCAGGTTTGCTGCACATACACAAATCACCTATCTGGGTATACTTGCCCTGAAAATACCAGGTTTACCAAGCATCTAAAGAGCGTGTATTCTGCATTTGCAGTCTCACACTGTAGATCTGTAGTTGGTTCGTTGATCTTCCAACATTTCCAGGACACAGAGCTCATTTTACAAGTTCTATTCAGCACAGAACAGACTGGGAAATCCCACGCAGAATTGTGACAATCCTACCAAAACTGCTTTGTTTGGAAGAGAGAAAACTTGCAGATTCCAAAAGTCTGCTGCCTGAAAAAATCCTTTATTCTGTTGAGCAGCTTGAGGAGAATAGTCTTCCTAGTAGGAAGGAGCTTGTGCTGATTAAATCACTCCTGGCCCTAGCTTTCATGCACCATCCATTAATGAAATTACATAGAAGCAAGATTCCATCCTCGGGTTTGCATCTGTGTGCTTGGGAGATATAAATAGTATCTAGAGCCTATAAATATAAACAAGCCCTGAAGGGGTTTAGCTTACCTTTCAAACTCTTAAATCCCTTTTATCAATGGCAGACGTGCTAACAATATACACATAATTCTAGGGGTTTTATTCAACTGATGTGAAAAAAGTGCAACTAAGCTGTTGTGGGACTTAATGTAATAAAAGATAGAATAAATGACAAGGAAGAACTATTGGAAATAATAATTATAGCAATGATTACCATTAATAAACTGCAAGGGAGCATTTAAGTTGACACTGTTTACTTGTTCTAAACCACTGGTATTGCTATTGATAATCCAAGGTTTGCAAATAGGTTTTATTATAGGGCAGGAGCACATTCACCAGAGTTGTTTTTCCTACTACACCTACTTTAACCACCTACAGGTGGTAAAAGACACTACTTGTTTCTCCCACACACACCCCTCCATCGACATTTCAAAGATGGATTTGAGATCAAAACAGTGTGTGTGGCAGCTTGCCTTTTCATTCCAAAACTGATCAAAACAAGAAACCATAAAGCAGAGTATTGACACTGGGTTTAAGTTGAATTGGTTTTCCAAAGATAGATAAAAGCTGGCTATTACAGCAGGGTGTAGCAAGCCCATTATCATTTGCTGTAGTGACACAGCAGTTCCTAGCAGAGGTTGAGCTCTGAACTTTGTTCTGGTCGGTCCTGAAGGTAAAGTCTTCTCCTGGGCTGGTCACTGCTGGGGGCCTTCCTCCTTGAATGAGGGAAAGCCTGGCCTGCAGCCTGACTCATGTGAAATCCTGTATCCCACCTTATTAGTTTTGGATCGCTAAGGCATCACTTAGACATCAAGGTGCGTTTATTACATCAGACTGTGCAAACACCGATTTTTACTGTAGGAGCAAGCACTATAACCTTACAGTATGCTCCTATTGATGTGGAACAGTTTTCCCTCTCACAGTATTTGAAAATCAAGATATCTTGAAAGAATTTGGCTGCTTTAATTTGACCCCCAAGGGTAAGGTCATTTTTTTTTTTTTATATCAGCTGGACACAAAAAATGCAGCTTTCAAAAGAGCCAAACCAGTACAACTTGCAAAGGATTCTGAAGGGGTTTCAATTCAGATCTGGATCAAGGATAAACAGCTCTTTGTGCACAAAGTTCAGAAAATGTGTGCCTATGTTTTTGTTTTCTGTGCTTTCTGAGTTCTTCTTGCTAGGATATTTTGTGGACAGGAGAGCCTCTGTCAGGGACAGGAAATGGTGTGGATGAAATGCAGAGACATGTGGGTGGTGACACCATCTCTAGACCATTAGTGCTGGCGAAACTTTGAGTTGGACCGCTGGCTCAGGCCCAAGGTGTATAATTCAAATAGTCCTGCTAAAATGAGTATGCATTTGAGGGTGTTTGTGCCTCTTTCCACAGATGTGCAAACTCCGTGGCCTTTGCTTCAGTGCTGAGAATGAGCCCGTGTGTCATATGGTGGACAACTGGCGCCCGTGTCAGCCTTTGAAGAGCAGAGAAGTCAGAGCTTCCTTCCAGTAACCGCAGTGCTGAGTGTGTTAGAAATTGCTGTGTTTGTGAGGAACCCCTTTTGCTAAGCACAAATCAAACCTTTGCCATGTGTGCCCTGGCAACATCTTGTCTCCCAGATCCATTCTTTCTTTCGCTCTGCATCTAAAATGCCAGCTAATGAAATGTGAAAGGCTCTTGGCCAAATAGGAAAGGGTTCTTAAGGTGTGGGGTTGGGGGAGGCATGGGGCGTGGGTGTGGCTGTGTGCATTTTGGTGACTGTTACTGCGACTGACACGTTGGTATAACAAACAGTATGTTGGCTACTTGGGAGAGGATATAGTGATAGCGAAATAAGCCATTTTAAGAAACCTCATCCACTGGTGTGATAGTACACATAACTAATGATAACTTGAAGCTTTGTGAAAAGCACAGGAATACAGAATCTAGATATGATTTAGGAAAAAAAAGTATTTTGAGAAAGTAAAGCAAAATGAATATTGAGAATTAGACTTCTTAGATTTTAAGAAACTGACATGTAAATATTTTTGAGACCGTTTTACATTTTTACCCATGCTATCAACAACGTTGATTATGTCTTAATGGTAGTGTTGGATTTTTTTTAATTAAAAATGTCCTAAATTAAGTATTATCTTTAAAAGTTGTTATTACCATAGAAATAACACAAAATATCTTTTCCTTGAAATAATATATGCTCTAATTTAAAGAGGAAAATAATATTGTATTTTAGATAACATCTCTAATAAATCTATACTTATATTTTTGCTTCCATGCTGTTATTTTAATTCAGGAAAAGAGTCACTAATCTGTTCGCATTGTTGCATATTAAACATAATTATTAAACATATAGTATATTGGGAATTGGTTTTAGTGACACTGAAGATGAATGCAATGGGCATGTTAGAGAAAATTTCCTAAGTAGCTCTCTTAGGAAGAGGAAGTGTTAGTTTTGAGAAATCACTGCAAATTATCATCAAAGTTGACTGCATAATACAAGATCCCCTCACAAGAATTTTGAACAAAATCATACTGAAGAGTGAGCTTCTCCAAACCAGTTGCTTACACATTGCCCTTATGTGACAGCCCAAAAGCAAGGTGCCTTATCTTTATGCAGAACATCTATTCAATCTGTTTCTCCAACTAGACCAAATCTTTCAAGACTGCGTCCCCAGTGTTTGGTTTTTTAGCCTCACAGTATCATATCACGTGAATGATTTCAACATAAGATTTTTTCCAACAGAAATACTGCTGAGCAGACAATAGCTTCCAATAACTTCCATTGCTGGATCCTTACTAGCTGATTCCCTGTGTTTTCATGAACATATATGCAATAGATACCTAAATATAAATCTCTTCTAAATACGCAGGATCCAAACAATACCATAAGGGCCTACCCTCTTTCTCAGGCTCCTGGCTGTTGTGAGAAAAGCCGTCTTCAAAACTGTCATCTCATTGGATTCTGATCCTAGTTTTTAACGCAATTTATTATGAGCTTCCTACCCCATCAGGGGTTGCTTTGTAATTTAGAAGATATCAGTTGGGCAGGCTAGGTTCTGAAACTCCTGGGATCTTGAAGTGTGTGAGGTGGGAATGAAGCCTTCTCAGAGGGCATACAAACATCTTTAGAAAACTGTCAAATCTCCCCCTTTGAACAGCTTCCCCATTTAAAATGTGCCCGCCCCCGCCAAAAAAAAACAAACCCCAAAACTAGAAAAGAAAAACAAAGTGTTCCTTTGCCACAGGTCATTTGTTCTAAGTTCAGCTTTTCTGAATGGAGCTATGAAGGTACTTGTCTCTTCCTACAACTATGCTGATTAATTCAGGTTCTTCATGTTGAGTGGTTTGAATACTTTTCTGACTCTTAAGTGTCACCCGCAGGCCTGAGTGCTACACGTGTTCCCTAAACAATGCAAGGGAGGTACACCTCTAAAGTTAGAATTATAGATCCAATACGTTGTGGCTTAAAGCTGCTGAAGCAAGCCAAGAGGAAACGCAGAATCACAGGATGGCTGAGGTTGGAAGGGATCTCTGGAGGTCATCTGGTCCAACCCTTCTGCTCAAGCAGGGCCACCTAGAGCAGGTTGCTCAGGACCATGCCCAGATGGCATTTGAGTATCTCCAAGGATGGAGACATGGGCTCCACCCACTTACTTTAGCAGGTAGCATCCTTTTGCTGAAGCTGAAGGAAAGTGCTTGTTAGCAGTCACAAACACTAAACTCTTTCCTGGAATTGTGCATGTATGCCAGAACTTGCTCTTAAAGGTGGCAACCCTACTCTTTGCATAATGATTACATGTTATGGCACTCCTAAAATTTAAAAAATAAAATATGAGAACCCCAGATTTTCAAATTTTAAACCCATGTCTTGACAACTGTGATACCCTGACTACTAGGTATTAAGACTTTCTGAGAAGCGGTAATCTCATTGGTACCTGTACAGCTTAAATAGTATCCAGGATGGTATGTGACAGAGAATGCGTACTTCTGCCTAATGGCTAGGGTAAAAACCTGGAAACACCTGCGAAGTTCTAACCACTGCTGCAATAAAAAGTTCTGTATCTCATACTCCATTGCATTTCAAGGTTGCTCCATAAATAATAAGTAGCAGCAAAGACAACCAACATCAGCCATATATTTATCATCTTGTTTGCATGAGCCTGTTTACCTGGAATGTCACCAGTGCCATATGTTTGCCTTTGCTGAATATGAAGTACTTTTGTATTCAGCCAGACAATGCACGCTGGTGTTCATAAGTCATACACATGGTGTACAGGAAGAGCCTGCTGTACGTCTTACCTGTGTGGTCTACCAGGGAACGCTGTTCTTCATTTTTCTTTTTTTTTCCCTTTCTTTTTAAGTGAACAAGCTTAGAGAACCACCCCTCCAAAATCCTCACAAAAACCCCTCTCCAGCATAAAATGGTACATGGGCTTACCACAAATTCACACTTTGCAGTTAGACTCTTGTGCAATGGATAGCCTTTTCAATGAAGACATATATATTAAGGCCAACCCAGAAACGAAGAAAACAATTTCCCTGGCATTCATGATCCATTTCCTGAATGGTGAGTTCGATTAAGTTAAAGGTGAATACAACCATGCAGTTCTTCTTCCTGACCTCTATTCTCCTTCACTATTTGCTTTTATGAAGAGGTTATAATTAGGTCTTGCAATTGTTCCACAGCAGACTTAGACCAACACCCATTCTAACATCACACTCAGACCTGTTTCAAATGGAAAACTGTTTATGAATTCATAATGAAAAAAAAAGAGACCACTTTGGTCTTGGAACAGAATATGATCTACTGCAGGTAATTGTGTAATTGTCAAGTAGGCAGCTCTGATTAAAGGGAAATTTGTTTAGAATAAAAAAAAAAGAAAAGAAAGAAGGCTAGTGTGTCAATTTGAAGTCACCTAAGATACTCAGCCAGCACTTTTATGGGGGAAAGAGAGAAGCATGTTCACTTGCAAACTGTTTATTTTGCACAGTTTGTGATCTTGTCTCACACTTGTCTGCCAACTCCATGTGTTAGAACATTTTATGATTTCTCCACTGCTATTTCTACGGGTTGGATGTGTCCTAGATTGTTATGGGCGGGTAGACTGTGATTAGAGACGTTCCCTGGGAGATTAGATAATAATGCCCTGCATGGAGTCAGCAGTATTTATAGAAGTCCAGATAGTTTATAGAAGAATATCACTCACTAAATGACAGCTTTAGGATTTTCTAACTCTTCAAAGAAAAGCCCTGCAAGTAACAGCTGTGTCAAATCTAGTATCATAGAAACAAGCAGTGATGAAAGTACATGCAGTGGCTTTATTGAAAACTTCCCATGGACCCTCTAACATCAGCCACTTCCTCTTCCAAACCGCAGCATCTCATACAGTCACGTAGCACCTGGTGACAGTTCCTTACACTGAGCGTTTGCTATATTTTAAGTGTATTTGGCAACTGGACACTCCACTGCTGTCCCCCTTGCTCTTTCAGTATGATGGTAAAGGGCTGTGCTGCCTCGATGCCATCGATGGTTGACTCAGGGCATGAGACTCCCCAGTCACCAACTTCCTAAAGGTATGAGTGCAATGGGTGCACGTTCAAAGCCATCATGGCTCCATACCAAACAGTGAGAGCTACGATGACAAAACTTTTCAGGGATCCCTGACTAATTTTAGACCACAAGTCTCACTATTTTTTTATCCAAGCCACAAACAAAAGCCGGGTATGTCCCCATCCCAGCGTGGATTAGAGTGTAGTGATTCCTCAAGCTCTCATGTTCATCCAACATCGAGCTCTTCAGGATGCTCACTTTAGTTCAGAGCTCAAAGCTACGTAGCTACGTTGCCTGAGCTGATGGACCCCGATTCTCAGCAGGGCTCGGTGCTAACATGGTGTAGCTGTGTTGCTCCTAATCCCAGAATAGAGTCAGTTTTGTCCAGTGAGGATGTCAATGCACTGCAGTGTATTAAACAATAAAAAAGATATCCTCAGGACATTTTGAAAAAGGCAATATATAAACCCTGTTTTTATAATCTTGTGTGGTATGAGGCATTGTATATATGTATGACAAGAGGCAGTCACTGCTCTTTTGAACTCACACCCTGAAACAGAGGAGAAATGCATTGAAACAATATGCAATAAACAAGTGATTAGAGCGGACAGGTGGATATTAACTACATATTTTTCCTGAGGGGTAGGTTTTAATGAGTCTTGTAACATCACTCAATATTCAAGGACCTGGAAAATTTGCTTCAAAGTACTAGAATAGAATAGATTATTTCAGCTGAAAGGGACCTACAACAATCATCTAGTCCAACTGCCTGACCAATTCAGGGCTGACCAAGTTAAAGCATGTTATTAAGGGCATTGTCCAAATGCCTTTTAAACACTGACAGGCTTGAGGCATCAACCACCACTCTAGGAAGCCTAGAGTTCCAGTGTTTGACCACCCTCTCAGTAAAGAAATGCTTCCTAATGTCCAGTCTAAACCTTCCCTGGCGCAGCTTTGAACCGTTCCCACACGTCCTATCACTGGATACCAGGGAGAAGAGATCAGCACCTCCTTCTCCACTTCCCCTCCTCAGGAAGCTGTAGAGAGCAATGAGGTTGCCCCTCAGCCTCCTTTTCTCCAAACTGGACAAGCCCAAAGTCCTTAGCTGCTCCTCATAGGACATTCCTTCTAGCCCCTTCACCAACTTTGTTGCCTTCTTTTGCCTGGGAAGCCCCAAGATCAAACAGGGAAAAAGAGTTTGTGTGGCACTTGGGTGCCTTCGACCAGGGATAACACAGACGGAAATCTTTCTCTGTCTGCAATGCTACACAAAGAGTGTCTCTGAGAGGCACGAGACACACCAAGGCTGACAGGTTTCACAGGAAACAGAGCTAGGCTCTCTCTTCTGGACACTGATCTACTAGCCCAAAGGCTAGGTCCAAAGGTTCAGCTCACTCCAGTAAGGTGGGAGGACTGCACCTGCAGGGTTCATCAGTGTAAGAAGTGGAACCCATGATCAGTAAGGATCCTCTTTGCTGATCATGTGCCACCTCATATACAGAGGAAAAAGCAGGCTAGTGTAAGGACTCATGGGACCTTCTCTCCCACTCTGCTCCACAGCTGGGTCTCCTCCAGTGCACCTAAGCAGGGAAAGACAGTGGAAGTGGAGTGCCCTTTCCAAAAAAAAGGAGGAAGGATAGCCAATGATCCTGTTTTTGCAAAACTGTGTAGCAGCAGAATACTTTTTTGGAGTTACTCAAAGGACAGGGA